CACTCAAAGTATGTATTAATACCTGGGGGAGCAAACAACTGTGCATATCTCTCTATCAGTGTTATAGAGGGCGAACAATTTATGAGTTTGCCCTGCATAAGCTTTATGCAGGGTAAAACGGATTTATCTGGGTTTAGACCCCATTGGGAGTTGGGCATCTGAGTGCTAAAGACAAGCACACTACTGTGAGCTGTTTTCAGGTAAACTTGCAGCTTTGGGACAAGTGATTCAGACCCTGGATCTGTGTCTGGAGCCAAACAGGAGTGTCTGGCTCAGCAAGACAGGGTGCTGGAGTCCTGAGCTGGCAGGGAAAACAGAAGCAGGGGTAGTCTTGGCACATCGGGTGGCAGCTCCCAAGGGGGTTTCTGTGATCCAACCCGTCACACTTGCCTCTAGGAGGCAAGGAGGCAACAGATTTGTCCCATGCTAATAGCAGCATCAATTCTGTAGCAAAGAGTCACATTGCACAGATGCACCCATCATTTCTCTAGTAACCTCATTGCATTATTTAATTCTGCTTGACAGTAATTTTCTGTGGGTTGACATTAAAATATTTTTTAACTCTGCGTGTGTGTGAGGGGAGGGCATGTAATAACTAAACAGGCTGCAGTTTGTTAGGTTTATGGGAATCCAGGTGTATTTTAAAAGCATATACAGATCAGAAAGTTAAAACGCCACGGGCTTGATTCTGCCCTAACTTAGGCTGGCTTCTGCCAACATAACCTAAGGAGAAAGCCCTTAAATCTATCTTTTTTTCAAACAGAAAAAAAAGGAGATGGGAATAGAGAATATAGAATCAGTCTGTTTACTCATCTGAGTCCCTGAATATACTTGCTTATTTCAGGACCCCCCGGAGTTCAAGTTTGTCTATCCCACTCACTGGAGACAGCCAGACTGATGCTGACATTCTGGCTTTCATTAAAGCCAGACAGAATCTCCTGCAGAAGAAAGGTAAACCCTGTTAAACGTACTAGGCCAAACTGAACTCTCTGATATAGCAGTAATGCATATATCTATATATCAATGCTAATGTAAATCCCCTTTGGGTATTTGTCACTAAATCAGAGGGTAAGAGTAGTCATAGGTGAGCAGTAAATTTCAGTCTACAGTGTAAGTAAATAAAACTGGCAGTAGGTAGAAGGCACACAGCAATGGCACCCAGAGGTGGCCTGGAAGTAATTCATCACAATAAAGACAAAAGTTTCTTCTCTGTTTGTTTGGGTTTTTTTACAACAGTTTTTAATGACAGTAGCAAATTAGAGAGAAGATGAAAGCAGCAGTGATTGCTGAAGCAATAACTTTCCATCACCGCTCAAGTGCTGATGACAGCATTACTCTGCAAGCTATCAGCCCCTGGCAGATGGTGTTAGCGTTATCACAGAGTGGTGCTTTAGTATCACTCTGCTTATCAGGAATAACTCTCAGGTAAATACACACAGGCTGCAAATCCAGCCACCTTATGCCCATCCAAAGCAAACACTCAGCACACTTAGGCTTTGGGTTCCCTTTTGTCTTAATTTAGTAAGGCTGTTGTCAAGCTTCTTCTGGAGACGTTAAAGTTGAATTTGTAGGCAGCTCACCTACGAGCCAGGCTACAGAAAAAAGCAACATTTAAAGCAAACATCTAAGGCTTTTAGAAGGTTCAAGATTCATCCCGTTTATAACATACAAAAAATGAACTTTGAATTACAAGGGCACAATTTGTCATGAAATCATTTCTGAAAGCCCATCAAGATTGTATCTGTCAGCTGCCTTCCCTAACCTGCTTGTTATGTGTCTATAGGCCATCATGTAGCATCATGTGTGGATCTCAAAGAAGGCTAGGATTTACCAAAACTGATAAACTTACGTTTCAGGCCTACCTGTGTCTGAAAGAGACGCCTACAGAACAGAGGATGGTCAACCCATTTTAAACTGTGCTAAAGTTCAGTTATAAACATTATGGAGCTAAGTGTGATACCACGTGCATGATGCTTACCACAGCCAGGGCCGGCTCTAGCTTTTTTGCTGCCCCAAGCAGCAAAAAAAAGCGCCACCCCCGAGTCCTCCCAACCAAGCGCCGCACCGCCCACCCCCCCACCAAGCGCCGCCGGAACCCCCCCCAGAGCGCCGCCCCCGC